TTGTTAGTATTAATAGCCCCCATGTTGTTGTATTTAACCAAGGATGGTCACATAATATGGTGTTATCCCAATGTGACCAGCAGGTGTGGCACAACTTGGCTAGGACACAACCACCAGCAAGGACCAGGACACCTGCAACTCGCTTAACTGTACAGCCTTGTCCTAGGATACACAATTATTAGACCCAATGGAATGGAACAGATTAGGAATATGGGGTTGGTGTTCTTGTAGAATTTTCTTACAGCACAACTTGTAGCTGATATCTTACCGATAACAAAAATGGCTGCAGGGCCAACAGTATCTCTATGTACAACTGCCCCAGCTTCAGGAATCCAGCAGTTACAGCTCTTTCTTTTTCATTTCCTTAGTCATACAACACAGGACCCTCAGTGACTACATCACAGCATTACCACACAAAAGAAAGAGCCACTGGCATGAATCCTCTTCTGTACCTTCACACAACCTTTTTTCATGAGAATCACAAAGTACTTCACTGGTAAGATTTTCTGTTCTTTGTAGCACATAAAGAAAAAAAGAATTCACTTGTGCTTTTTGTTCTAATTGCTGCTTACCACAACAGCTACTTTAAGCAGTGTGGCAATGATGTTGCTAAGCTCCTGGAAGCTGTCCAACAGTGTTAGGGACTCAGAGTGTATGTGTCTCTTCTCCCACGCACAAATTCATTGATTGAAGAAACCCCAGCTTCCAGTGCCTGCTACTCTGAGTGGAGGCAAGTAGGAGGCAAACAGGATTAGAGGAAATCTTGAGGCAAGACCCCTCATAGTCAGAGCTAGCGCCCTTAGAACAGCCAAGAGAAAGCTCACTTCCTCTCCCTACTCTACCATTTGCAGCTGTGGGAGCAGTCAGCAGCCCACAGGCCACAGAATGGTCCCCAGCAGAACCCATAAATACCAGCATCCCAGTCTCAGACTTTCAGCCCCCGTAGCCATAAGAAATACAGACCTGGAATTGAGAAACCACTCCGTCTATTTTATTTTGTTACAGCAATCCAAACTATGCTAACTTCCAGCAAGAGGGTCCCGAGCAACACAGAAACATACACAGCAGTGCCTGAAAGCAGAGGCGATAAGCTCACTGCGTTCCAGGGGCTATACACTGTACAGGCAAAGCCACAATTCCCAGTTAAGCCAGGAGCTGCTCCCAACATTCAGTCTCAGACCCAGAGTATGAAATCCCCCAATGGTACCCCTCCTTACACAAACACTTGAATAACTTCTGATGTGGTGGCTCAGAAAGTCACACTTAACTCCCCCAAACCTAGTTTTATATTGCATGTCACATAACAATACAGATTCCCTTCTGCGACATGGGTCATAACCCCCAAAGCACTTCTGACTTCCAGAGTGATCAGAGACAGTAAGATTAAAATATGAGCCTGTTGTCCTTAGTTCCAAAAGCAGTAAGAACTGCCTCAAATCCAGAAAGCAAGAAAGATTAAACCTCCTGCTGTACTCTAGGACTGAGAAGCATGCCTTGGAAGTCAAGTGTCTCGCTCTCTCATCTTCCGCCCTCCTCCCCACCTCACCTGCCCAGGGCAGGTCAGGGTAACTAACAACACATTCCAACTTCCTCCTGCTTCAAGATCTAGACATGAAGAAACAAAGAAAGAGAATGCTCAAATCCTCTTTGTTTCAGAGGGGATCATAAAATCCACATTCCAGAAGGAGTTTTGCCCAGCCCTGGGAGGAAGGAATCCTCAACAGAGGAACCAACAAGAATCCAAACAGCCAGGCCTGCGGGGCCTGCGGGACTTGTTCCATTAAGCACATCAGCATCAGATCACGTCCTTTTTGCCCAAGCACATTTATATACAGTGGTCTCTGCTTTAATCAGGTTTATGCAAGGAAGTTTCACAAAAACTCGAAAGACAGAGTTCCTAGATCTTCCAGATAGCCCAGCCATGGAGGTTCCTGGTGGTAGCCACTGAGCAGCACATTCCCCAGACCTCATACCACACATCTCTTCACCTGTATCCCTTTAGCATAAACCAGTAAATCTAAGTTCCATGAGCCATTCAACACAATTATTCAAGCCTGAGGACACAGTGGCAGGAACCTCAATTTCTGGCACCTAAAAAAGTGCAGGCTGTGCCCTCAGCCTGTGGAATCCAACACAGAAAGTCAGCACTGACCTTGGAGTAAAGGACACCCAAGACTGGCTATCTGCCAGAGATATATTGCCTGCTAATGGGCAGAAGTCCCTACACCTTTTGGGGTCTTGGAAGAGATCCATGTAGTTGAGTGTGCAGGAAAAGAAACTGAGTTGGAGTTTGTCTTCCTTCTAATAGCTTCACCTTCTCTCTACTCTGTTGGATTTCTGGCTCATCTTTCTCTGGAAGAACATACCCTAGGGTAAAAATGTGTTATCGGAAGCAGCCCTGGAGTCCATCCAACAAACAACAGAAGCACCAGAAAAGAGACCTGCTTGCATTTTAAACAGGCAAGTGCCTTCACACTGGGCCAGCAATCACCAATTCTGACAAACTCTGAGGGTTCAGCGATGCCCATGAGCACATCTTTGCCAGTGACATGGAACAGTGGAGGAAAGCGCGGAAAGACGAAGAAGGAAGTGTGCCAGCGTCCACATGCATCATCCTGAGACACCTTTACTTATAAACCAACGGCAGCTCCTCATGGCCAGTGAATGCAGCCTTACTGCTCTCAATTCTCAAAGCTTGCAGTTAACCCTCTGACTCAGATAATGTGGGGTGCCCAGACACGGCTTTCCCAGGGACACTGCCTGCCAACACTCTTTCCCCACTCAGAGCTCGCTGCCTGAAGTGACCACCAGATTTATCCACCCCCATTCAGGGCAACCTTCATTTTTCCACTTGCTAATGATCCCATCTGAGTGGGCTTCCAAATCCAGCTCCATCCCACTTCTACCCTTCCAAATGCACCTGTCCAGGTTGATCTCTCTATATCAGACTCAGTCATTATGTTTTCTAGTCTTATATCCCATTTTTGAGTTGTATTACAAGAACAGCTCATCACCCCAGACTTAGACATTCTCACAACTGATTTCACTGTTGACTCAAAAAAAAAAAAAAACCACTGAATAAGGAGAAAAGTAAAAGGAGGAAAGGGAAAGAGGAGAGAGACCAGAGGAAAACTCAGAGTGCAAAAATTAGACAAAGCAAGGGAATTTTAATTCCAGCAAAGGCCCTGATGGCAGCCAGGGTTGCTAGCTGTATCAGCCCTCACTAGATCATGTTCTCCATCCAGAGCACCAGGCACACAGGTCACTATGGTGATCCCTAAGGAAGATACCCTGATGGTCCCCATCCTCGGTTCACTCTGACAAATGATGTACAAGTTATCTTCTCTGAAAGCCAATGCAGAAACAAAAGACATCATCAGAAAGGCTACAGTTAATGATGGTGAGAGGTTCTAAGAAGTGCATTGTCCAAACAATTGTGCTGGTGTGTGAACCGTACAGAGGGCGAGATGGGCAGGTCTGTAATCATGTGGTCTCTTGATGTGATCAAGAGACCCAAATGGATAGGCTACTGCCAGCAAACCCAGCAAGCTGTTCCATCTCTTAGGAGCAGGAGTATTTTCTGACACAAGCAGTAAAAGTATAGTACAGAAGCAGGCATTATGGCATGGTGGGTTAAAGCTACCACCTGTGACACTGCATCCGATGCAGGGACCACTTCATGCCTAGCTGCTCCACTTCTCATCCAACTCCCTGCCAATGTACCTGGGAAAGTATCAGAAGATGGCCCAAATGCTTGGGTCCAGAACCTACATGCGAGACTCAGAAGAAGCTTCCAGATTTACACTGGCCCAACTTTGGCCGTTGAGCAAGAAGTCAATTAGAGCTTAGAGCTGAGTGAGTTTTACTCCTTTTCCAGCATGCTTCCAAGGAGAAGCAGCACTGGATTTCCCCACACCTGTAACTATGTCTATGACCTCAGTGAAGCCCTGCTTTCCCCTGCAGGTGCTTCACACTCCCGGGCCCTCCCGGTTAGCCACTGCCAACTTCTCCTTCAGACAAGATGCTTCACCTCTAGTCCAGATGCTACTGATGCACAATTCCTCATTTCAAGAATTTGCACTTTATTACAAGGTATGCAGCTCTTTAAGAAGAGTTTGTCTTTTAATTTATTTTGTTGGAATGCTTTCCCCCTGCAAGTGGCCATTTGGTGCCACAGTTAAGTTGCTGCTTCCCATATTGGAATACCTGGTTGGAGGCCTGGCTCCTCCACTTTTGACCAAGCCTCCTGTTCATATGCATCCAGAGAAGCAGAGGACAACTCAAGCACTTGGGACCCTGTCACCCATGTGGAAGACTTGCGTTGTATTCTGAGATCCTAGCTTCAAGCCCTAGATACCGTGGCTGTTTGGGAAATCAATAAGCACATCAACATATTCAAAATACAACTTCTCCACTCAAGCCTGCTTTATACACAATTTCTTTTAGTCAGCTGTCCAAGTTATAAATTTCAGCACTGTTATCAATATCCTAGGCCTCATATCTTCTATATATAGTGAGACACTAGCTCCTATTTATTACATAGCCAACACATACAAATTTTGTATTCCCACCACTGTTAGCACCTTTCTAACACTCATTTATTCAACTTTTTTTAAAACACAATTGCGTCAGGCATTCTACTACACATTAGACATATTTGGGAGTTCACTCCAAAGTACTTTCCATAAATTATTTCATTTTATTTTCACATCCACCCCATGACATAAGCAATGCCATTCCTATAATATACACTATTTTAAGGTAAGAAAATATTAAGAGATAAAATAGTTTATTTGACTTGCAAAAGGTCAAGGCCAATAAGCTATAGATATAGAACTACAACAATTATCTCCTGAATCCAGAGCTGGTGTTTGTTCTACTATTAAACATTCGTTAAAATCTGCAATTTCAGTAAGATATCATTGTAACCTGGTCTTAAGTCTAATCATAGAGACAGAAGGTACAACATGTGCAGCCATCCACTCAAGACCAGCACTAACCTGTTCTCCTTGCACACAGTCACCTTGTCTCCACCGGGTATCAACTTCTTCTGTTCAATCACCCCATAGCTTTCTCGGCAGATCTACAATTAAGGCAGAAAAAAATTCAATCTTGTTTACCACTTATCTGTCTTGTTAGAATCCAACCAATTGAAGGAGGTCTTAGGAACAAACGTAGTTAACTATTTATTACCCTAGAAAATTCTTGGAAGAACCCAAATCAGAAAATATCAGCACTGAAACAAAGAAAGATCTTTTACAACAAGGAGCTGCCAACAGATGTCCTAAATGAGCATGGATTCATTTATTCAACACACTGAATTCCTGCAACACTCCAGACACCATGTGTATAACAATTTGATTCAGAAAAGCTCATGGCTTTGGTGATTGAAAGAATGAGCACTGGGCCCAGTGAGGTAACCTAGTGGCTAAAGTCCTTGCCTTGCACACTCCGAGATCCCATATGGGTACCAGTTCTAACACCAGTGGCCCTGCTTCCTATCCAGCTCCCTGCTTGTGGCCTGGCAAAGCAGTCAAGGACAGCCCAAAGCCTTGGGATCCTGCACCCATGTGAGAGATCTGGAAGAGGCTCCTGGCATCTTATTTGAATGCTTTTCCTCCTTCAGATCGGCTTCAGATTGGCTCAGCTCCGGTCGTTGCAGCCACTTGGGGAGTGAATCAATGGATAGAAGATCTTTCTCTGTGTCTCTCTTCCTCTTTGTATAACTGCCTTTCCAATAAAAATAAAATAAATCTTAAAAAAAAAAAAGAATGAGCATTAACTATGACCTGGAAGCCATAGTCGGAAGCAAATGGGAAACTCTTACCGTGAAGTTGAGGCAGAAAGCCTCCTCAACATCTTCCCCGGGGTAATCTAAAAGTTCTTGAAGACTCCTAAACACAGGGCAGAAAAGGGAACAGAAGATCAATGATGCAGTAGAGTTTCTACTTGTTGCATGTCTACATCATTTGCAAAGAACTGTGAAAGACAACTCAGAAATGAACAGAATTCCAAACTGTCAGAAAGTCACACACCTATACCTTGGAAAGAATTATGGCAGTACAACTGGAACACATTACTTGTTCCCCTTCTGTACTGACAAATCCTACTGAATTTGTGTGGAAATCTAGATGGATTTATACCTGATACAGCTGTGTTTTCTTACCCTGCCACTGCTTGGGAGTTTATATATGAACATTTGGTGCCTCAGTGATCCTACAGACTGGCTTAGTAGCCTGTATGAATTAGTAGAGTCAAAGAAAGCCACCACAAAGTCACCTTATCTATTTAAGAATCTTATAGGTCTGGGTCTTAATTGCAAAAGACAGAATCCCAAATGACAGCATCCTGAATGATGATTCCCAAAAGATCAAAACTTCAGGTATAAAATCTCAAAATACAATTTTAGAAAAACTAATTTAAAAAAATTCTTTAGGGGTGAACCCAGCAGTATGGCATAGAAATCTGAGCCTCTGCCCAAAGCACCAGCATCCTATATGGGCTCCAGTGTCCTGGCAGCCCCACTTCCAATCCAGCTCTATGCTTATGGCCTGGGAAAGCAGCAGAGGCTGACTCAAGTCTTAAGCCCCTGTGCCCACATGGGAGATTAGGAAAAAGTTCCTAGCCCCTTCAGATTGGCTTAGCTCCAGCCATTGCAACCACATAGGGAATGAACCAGAGAACAAAGATCTGACTCTTTCACAAATGCATATATATAAAAGACTCCCAGAGGAAGTCTGAATAGTTTTCATGTACACATACAATGTTTACCCACAAAGTCAACCTTTCATAATGTACTTTTGCAGACTCAAAAATGCAAAAAGACATGCATCAAAACAGTAAAATTCTAATTTCTAATGTCTTCATTCAATTTCTACTTCTATACCAAAAATGGTACTTGGATGAAGTATAGAACGCAACAAATTTTTAATAATGCTGACAATTCATGATAGACAGTGGGAGGGAAAGGGGGCGCTGAGAAAGTCCAGGGGCCACTAGTGTTCAGTGCTGGAGCCCCAAGGCCTATGAGCCTGCAGGACTGGTATCCTCGCCCTGCTCTCAGAGACCAGCTTGTCTTCCATTATTGTTCTCTCCTGGTCCCAGCCCACTGGATGGTGTTCACCACAAGGAACAGGAATCTTCCCCACCCAGTCCGCTCAGACCCACACACCAACCTTCTCTGGAAGCACCTGCACCTTCACATACGTGCTGAAAATAATTACAAGGTTTCTAGCTATTCAATTAGCCAAACCTGTTGCAACCATCCTGGGTACAACCAAAAAAGAGCACAGCAATCTCTGCCCCTGAATTCACTCTCTTGGCCCTCTTCTACCTCTTTTGGCCCCTTCTTCAAAGGGGATTATGGTCTTAAGAATGTCATTATCATGGATTTTCATACTAGGACTGTCATTTAGCCTTTAGGGATTTTGTTCTTGAGAGATTTCAACCTGTGATGCTGGCATTCCAGGTGGTGTTTCCAGGATTATGACTGGCACTGCCTACTGCCCTTACTTATCGACACACAGGGCTCTGTGTTACACCCAGTATTATCTGTCACACACCTCACAGAGAACATGAAAAGCACACAGACTGCATTCTTTAAAAGGGTGGATTGTATTAGTATATAAATCACGTTATCAATAAGCTTTTAGGAACTCTTTTTCCATACATTCTTTCCTGCTATCTCTGGTCTGGGACAAGCACAGAGTTTTCGTTCTTGTTCAAATTATGGAAAGCAGAGATGTGATTCCTGAGCAGCTCTGCCCCCTTTTTCCCTTTATCCTTTCACCCCTGACAGTGAAAAAGGCATTGCTTCAAGCAAGAAGTTATGTGGCAATATCTTAAACTAGAGCTTACTCAACAGCATCTAATAGTATTCAGTCAACTCACAGTTGTACACATGGTATAGTCAAACCTTAAACAGTCCCCACACCGATGCACCTATCCTGCAGCTTTGTACCTTCCTTCGGTGGGCGACAGCTCCTTTAGGTCTTCCAAACCAGGCTGCACGTTCAGCAACTTCTTATAGAGGGCCAGTGGAAAGTGGAGGTCAACCACAGTGGAATTGTAGATAGCGAGTCCACAGGTTATGCCAATCAAGTGAAACCAGTTGTGTTCTACAAAACACTTTTAGAACATACAGAGACATTAAGGGAGAAACATAATACCCACAGCGCTCAAAACCTTGTTTATCCTAAAAGCATTTCATCTCTTTAACATTTAGTGACCTTCACAGGAGCTCAGAAACATTCTCAACAAGGGTTTAAGACAAAAGACATCACGCACAGCTCACCTACAGCAGGGAGGGCCCTAGAACCTTCTGCAATCAGGCTAATTTTCTATTCTGCGCTGTCTCATACCAGAAGTCTTCAAAAAGTCACAGAAAATGCGTATGATAGGAACTAGCGTTGTGGCAGTCAGCCTGTGATGCTGACATCCTGTATCCAAGCGCCAGCTTGAGGTGTGGCTACTTCATTTTCAATTTAGCTCTCTGCTAGTGTGTCTATGAAAGCAGAGGGCAGACAGCCCAGTTGCTTCAGTCCCTGTCACCCACAGAGAGTTCAAGGTTCCCAGCCCTAGTCTGGCCCAGGCTTCGCTATGGTGGCCTTTACAGAGTAAACCGGCAAATGGCAGATCACTCTGTCTCTCCCTCTGTTATTCAGTTTTTCAAATAAAATAAATCTTAGGAAAAAACGTGCAGCATTGAAATGAAAAATACTACACATAAGTTTAAGATTTTGTTCCAAAATGAACTTTCAATTCACAGATCCACAAACTTTAAGTGCCAATGTATGGCATCATTGGTTATTTGTGTCTACTGCAGTCTTGAAATGTGGCCAGGCACACATGAGCACATCAGTGTTTAAAACATTTCATCTTCATGTAAACAGAACATAAAGGGTCGCATGCAGCTAGTGGCTGCCTTCTGTGACAGTGCAGACCTAGGGAGAAGTCCCTAGTAGAAAAACACATTAATCTGGTTTAAATTAAAATACTTTTTACAACTCTGATTTTCAAAAACAAGTGTGTACATATGTGTATATATTCATACACACTATCACTGTTATTAAAACCAGTTTCTTGCTTATGTGGTGCTCCTTTTATCCTTCCTTAATAACAAGACTGAGATCTGACTAGAAATGAAAACACAGCCAACGGCTAAAACACAAAACAAAAAAACGGATGGATATCTGGACAACAGGTGAAAAATGAAAACTGGGTAAATTATTTTCATATTCTAACTATTTTTTTTAACATTCCTTTTGGCCAAGTTGGAAGTCAGGTGAATAGACTGGTAACAAAAACCTTAATTAAATTCTTCTGCTTAATTGTAACTTCACAAACTTACCGTGTCTGAAAACCACAAGAGATTGGAATCCTGATAGTAGGTAAACATGCCATAGATGGGATTCAAAAGTTCTTTCAACAACAGCAGAAAGAACTCCTTTGTGACACCACCTGCATCCACTGCCTCTTCACCATCAAAGATCACCTTAACACAATGAAACAAAATTAACACGTCAGGGAAATCTACAGCAGGTTTCTAAATCTTAGTAGATTCCATTCTGAAGTCAGGACAAGGACATAACGAAGAGTGGATACTGGGGCACTGAGGCTGCTGGTGCTGCCTGTTCATTATTGTTGGGAGCAGGTATTTTCCAGATAACACACAATTTTTCCTAGGTGCTCCAAGAGACACCATGAAGTCAGAAGTTTATCCTCTCTCTCCAGAACATCTACCATCCATTTCAGGGGAAGTAAAGCAAGCTCGCAGAAACAGAGTGTGCACATTCTTTTCAAAGAATGCAATATACAATGCGAGGTCAGTCTCCTGGTGCCAGAGGAAAGCAGTGATGGACTTGCATAAGGAATACCACCTGGAGATACTCACTCTCATAGGGTTCTGGACTAACAGAGCAGGTCAAAGGGCAGAGGGCATGCTGACCATAGATAGGGGCTCTGTGAGGGGCTGTGGGACCAGCACAGCAGGCCCAGAGTGGTCTTTAACCAGTAACAACTACAGCAAAAACAGTGGCAACATTAGAACCACTATTAGCCTAATCCGTGGAACAGCCTTATGTCTGGAGATTGCTGATATTATCCCCACTTGACCGAGAACAGCTCAGGAGGAGCTACAAGTAGGATTTCTGAAAGTTTATCTTTGCAACTGAGTTCCCAAAGCAAAAGTCAGGACAGCTCTCATTTATGAGATGTGGACCTCTCTGACCACACAGAAAGCAGATATCATGCAGACAGGCTACAAAGCAAGAAATGCTCATCTGTGAGTTACTCGTTGTCAAAGGCAACAAAATGAGAAGCAGAATCCAAAATACAACCCAGAAGTTCTACAGAGAATGACCAGGCAGCCCAACAGCATTGAAGCGTATCTATTAGAATGCTGGAAAGGGTAGGAATATCATAGATAGCCTCAACTTAGTATTTGCTTGTAAGGTTTGTTATGATTCACATATTTTTATTGGAAAGGCAGATTTACAAAGAGGAGAGACAAAGATCTTTCATCTTCTAGTTCACTCCCCAAATGGACAGTGACAGAGCTGAGCCGACCCAAAGCCAGGTGTCAGAAGCCTCAAACCAGCACCCAAATGGGATGCCAGCACCTGAAGGAGGAGGATTAGTCAGTTGAGCTATCCTGCCAGGCCCACATTTACAAGGTTTTTTAACAACAGCAGCCAAATCTTCAAACAAGCAGTTGTTTGCTTTCAAGATTTGTTAGGCAGAATGACAGAGATAAAAAGCAGAATGAGATAGAAAGAGGGCAAGAAAGAGAATCTTCCATCTGCTGTTTCACACTGCAAACGGCCACAATAGTTAAGTCTAGACCAGTCCAAAGCTACAAGTTAGAAACTCCATCTGGTCTCCAACTTGCTTGAGCCAACTTCCATTGCTTTCCCGGGTACATTAGCAGGAAGATGGACTGGAAACAGAGCAGACAGGACTCCAACACTCCGACATGGGATACCAGCATTGCAAGTAGCAGATACGTTTCTGTCACTTCCCAGGAATGGGAATAACAGATATAGAAGTCATCTGAAGAAAAAGGTGGATGACTTTCAACAACTTCAAATAACTCAGTAAATGTTTCTAGGATACCTGATGGTCTTACTACCTGTTTTCCTGTTTGACATTCTTTGTCTCAAATCTTTGTGATCTAAAATCATCCTAGCTGACTCCTTCCCGACTTCAGCAAGCGGAACCTGTGGCGTTTACATTACCTGTTCATTTTTGGTCAGGCTGATACAGGGAAATTTAAGTAGAACAGCTACCTGGTGATATGTTCACAGGCATTTTTACCTACTGCTCTGTTGAGAAGTTGTGTTTGATGATTTCACAAAAGGAGACAATCACATTCTGGCAGAAAGAAAGCCAACACCACAGAGAAAGGAAAAGAGGGAGGGTGGCACTCAACCATTTAAATGAGATGATCTTTGCAGCTTCCTGCAAACTGTTTAAAGGAAACCCACGAGGAAGACAAATGAAGACTCTGCTGAAGGGGCTCACTTTGAGAGGTTTCTTCAGATCGATGTCAGAATGGATGCTCAGTTCCCGTAAGGCATCTCCCACAAGGTTGTTCCTGCGAACGTGAAGGACCAGGAAGGGGCTTCTGGCCAGCAGAGGCTCCAGGGTGAGCAGCATGAAGACATTCTGCAGGTTGGCCCCGTTGACCGCCACCTGCAACGGCACCCCCAGGCCCAGCGTGACTCGGGGCACCTGCCAGCTGGCCGACTGATAGCTGCGTCTCTAAACCTCAGCAGCCTGCCTGCATCTTCATTCTGACCTTTTAAAATCTTATTTTCACAGACTTCTGAGGTTACTTATGGTCACACAGCACTCAAGCCTTGCTAATCTTTGCTCTAAGAGATTCGCTGAAACAATTTATGCATCATGTGATGGATAACCAGGTCCAGGAAAGACATCAAAACAAACTGATCTAGACAAAAATATTACTCAACTTAAACAGGAGAGTAGATAAAAACCATAACTTTGCAAATGGAAGAAAAGTAAATCTACTGAACACTTATTAATGGGTTTTTACTCTTGAAAAAAGTATTCATTTCTCTGGGAAACCATTATTTCTTTAATAAGAAAAATACGTTTTAATTGAATGAGGGAGAAAGACAAATTCTATTCACTGATTCAGTCCTCAAATGCCTGCAACAGTAACAGGGACTGAAGCCAGGTGCTGGGGGTGCAATCCAGACTTCCCAAGGAGGTGGCAGTAACCCAACCCTTGGGCCATCACCCCTCTGCCCAGGGTCTGCGTCAGCAGGAAGCTAAGCTCAGGAGCTGGAGGTGGGCATGGAACCCAGGCAACTCAGTATGACCTGTTCTTGCTACCAGACTATTGCAAGTATAGATGCAGACAGAGCTACAAACACACAGAGGGAAAGCAATGAATGAAGTTAGTTACATTTATTCTAATCAACAGTGGGAACTGGTGAATTTAGAATGCACACTTACAAATCTGTAGGCTTATCAAATCAAGTGTATTTTGTATTATGAAGAAGCAAAATTTAATTTTAATTACATTTTAAATTTAATTTCTCTTTCATAAAAGGAATTCCTAAGTTTCATTTAATTCGCTTTCTCTGTCTGAGGACAACAAAGAATGGCCCCATCCATCAAAACGAGAACACAGCAAGGCAATGTGTTTTGTTTTGTTTTTTACATTCTTAAATCTTTGGGGAGAAAAAAAATCTAAGGAAGAATATTGGACTACATATGCAAATTATATAAAATTCAAACTTCAACATTCACCAAGATTCACTGGCACTCTGCCATAGCCATTCATGACTCACTGTCCGTTGCTGCTTTTGTGCCATGACAGAACTGCACGCTTGTAACATCGGCCATACGGCCCACAAGCCTATATGGGCTGGTGGCACTTCACGAAAACTGTTTGCCAACTGCTCACCCACAAACCCATGCACTCACACCACGTATGGTTCATTCAACATAAAACCGGTGGGAAAAAACAAAACCCTTCTAACAGTTCTAAGACTTAAAATGGCATCCCAACCAAATACACAACATCCTGTTAGGAAAACTTACAACTGAATTCTTGGGTGAGTGAAGCCTGGGGGAATAATTTTTTTTTTAAATCTGATACCTGCATTTGTAGCTCAGCATCAGTCTGTAACATTTTGGTCTTGGCTTGGGCGTCAAAGATGAAAGGGTAGGAACAAAGTGTCACAGCATCCTGAAACAACACATGTTAGTGGCAGGAAGATCATATCCCACTGAAAATTCTGCTGGAGAAAATGACATGAGTCAATGTAGAAGAGTCATTTACCTGGATTATAGATGGTCTGGCCTTCTGTGTAAAGAAAAATAAAAAGTCTCATTTGGTTTGCAAAATTTGAATCTTTGACCTCTCAAACTGTATAATAAAAATTAAAACAAACAAACAACAACAAAAAAAACCCTAGACAGCCCATCTGACTATTTGATGGAACTAACATCATTTGAATAGCTGACAGATGTAGAATGAGAAAAAAAAAAGCAAATGTTAATTAAAAATAATAATAATAAGGACTTTAAAGGTCCTTTCACTTAACTTTCCATAATACACAAGATTAACAAGAGTTTTTATAAAAGAAATCTAACTCCAAACCAGGAGCTTGACAAAACTGATTTCACAGGCTGAGTTTGCTGGGAATAGAGGACAATACACACTGGACTGTTCTTGTTAGCAGGTAGCATCTTTCTACACATGCACACACAGCATGTGACCCCTGAAAGAAACCAAATCCTGAGTGTGAATTTCAAGTGGTCTGGAGAGTGCTTTTCTTCCAGTAAGCTATCCCTGTCTCTGGGTTTAGCCTGAAAAAGGCCCTCCAGGAATATGTGAATAAAGCCATACAGAAATCCCTGAGGAAGAACTGCCCAGGGAAGACAAAGAAACACAATGCCATCTCCCCAGAAGGGACGTCACAGTTTCATCTATCGTGTGTGTGTGGGGGAGGGGAGTGCAGGAGAAACCTCTTCCAGAAGTTTTTGCTAGGTACCTAACAAGCATTACTAACAGAAAGAACAAATATCATCACTACAGATTTCCTCTAGCAATATTTCTCCAACAGAACATGAAGGATTTCTTCTCAGTGATCAGAGTACCCTACAATTTTTTTAAAGCCGATATTCCACATGAAATGAACAAAAATGCATTCTGAACGAGCTTCTGATATTAATGTGGTACCAAATGATCTACATTTATCTTAATCACTGCACTGGTGCCACAGTAATACTTAAATGTCCCTAGATAATGAAAACAGCAGTCTTGGCAGGAAAATGCTGCATTTGTACCAAGGAAAAGGCCAGCCTGGGCCTGGCTGGCTGAGCTAGATTTAGCAGCAGAGCAGAGAGCTGAGTCACAGCAGCCCTCAGCCGCAGGGCAAACCACAGGCCAGGCTCAGCTTCAGCAAGACCAGCCTGCTTATCATACGAAATCAGTGCAGTTAATCTGCAATGCACCAAGTTCTGTGTTTTGTCTGCACCTAATTTGCAAATCTGCTTTGGCTTTCTACGTGCTTAAATGCTACACATATAAGAAGCAAGCACACATCTTTTGTGCGTGAGCCTACTGAAGTGAAATCACGTAAAGGCAACTTTAATTAAAATATACTTCCCTAATCCTCTAGACGTGGGTTCCAGCAGGATCTTGGAACACATCCTGGAACTAACAAGAGTGAGACCAGGCATGGATTCATTCATTTCAGGCGAACCAGACCCACTCTCAGGGCTTCCCCAAGCAATTTCCTTCTGGATGAGGAAGTGAACATGACACTCTGCAAAGTCATCTTTCTATTATGTGTAAAACAGATAGGAGCATCTTGGCAAAGCAGACTTAACACTGATGCCAATATTCAGAAATTTCTCATTTTCCTCACCAAACAGTTTAGATAACCCCTAGGGTTGTTTATACTCAAATACATCAGTATCTAAAGCAAGGTAGGGTTGTGAGAGTAAAGTAAAAAAGTAGAAATGAGTTCAGTGACTACTGATGAGAAAATTCTGGAGATGTCCTACATTTAATTGCAAGAATCAAAGAATGGAAGGAGGAGGTAAGAAGCTTGAGCTCTAAACATTAACAGCAGTGCTCCAAGTTGTTGAAACCTTGATTCAAAACTCCCTGAGGCCAACCTGCAAGCTTCCAGATCATTCTGCTCACAACAGCAATAGCCCAGCAGCCAGAAAACTTCCAACAGGCTCTCCTCCTCTCCCCAAACTTCATCCTCTTTGTGTTGGCCTGCCCACTCTTACCCAGAGCCAATGTTGGCTCAATGGAAGTTATTTACGCACACCCTCCCACATCCCCAGCCCCAACTACTCTAGTTTTTTAGATCCTACAGATGTTTGCCCCACTGCCACTCTGCCTTGCTGCTGGGGGCTGCAAACTCTGGTGGGTACTCTGGTGGGTACCTGTAATGGGTCAACAAAGTCTTGGAGTTGAACACTACAGAAACAACCCATAGCGGTGTAGGGTCCTTGTATCCCTGGCATTTAGAGGACCTGGCATTTCCATGGCTGTGACTGTTATTTCAGACATGGCATAACAGCTGTGTCCCCACCCCCCATTTTCGGCTCTCTATGAAGCTGCTCTCATTCTGGACTGTCCCCCAGCACATTCTCCCAACCACCACAAGTCCTTCCTGGGTCCCATTAGGACCCATATCCTGCAGTTCCCGGACCTCCTGTCACCCCATGTCTCAGTCTTGGAGGAAGGCTGAGTCACCAGAGGAGGAGGAGTTAAACAGAGGCCAGGGTCATGGTGGGCTGGCTGAAAAGAAAACCAAAATTGACTCCTTAGAAGACACAGCCAGTCCCAGGGGATCCCACCCCAAGTCTGTGGTCTGCAGAAAGCCCCTGGACAGCCAGGCTAAGGCGGGAGGGGCGGGCGGGGGGGAGGGAGCGCTCACAGCCCAAAACAGTGACAGACACATGGGACAGGCTGGTCTACATCTACAGGTTTCTGTTCAGCCTATGAGTTTTTATACTTTAATAAGGTTGTACTGGTTTTTGCAATTGTAGAATATTTTAGAAATGGTATTCCTCCTGGCATTTCCATATTATACAAAATAAACCCGAATGACGCTATGCCACAACTACCATCCCTATCCTAAGGGGAGGCAGATGAAATCACCCCAACAGGGGGCTGTCCTGCCCTGCCAATTCCCCGAAAGTGAATGTCACCAATTGCAAGCTAGAGAGGTACTGATAAAGCGTATTTCAAGTGTTTCTACCTGACGAAGGGGTTGCACTGTGACCTAAGTTCATTTTGAAAGTAGATGAAATGTAAACAATACACAAGCAAATGATCTGAAGAATATATTTCCTGAATGTGGCTATCGTTGCAGCAGAGGCACTGTACAAACACCTTCCCTGCCATTGTGCTGAGGAGCAAACATGGCCTCTTTTCTGCTAAGGGCCTGCCTTGTTCCCCCCAGAGGCTCAGTAGCAGAACTTGGAGCTCAACACTGCCCCCTTGTGTTGCATCTCCTTGTATGCATAGGATGAGATCCAAGCTCTCCAGTCCCTGTATTTTGTCACAGAATGCCAAGCTGGTGCTGCCCTCTACGGGAGCTTGAGGGTTACTCACTGCATGAGCTGTCTGGTTTCCAATGGGGATGGCAGCACCGCATTAAAACCACCACACCTCTCCTTAAACGGAACAAACGTCAGACACTTCCAGAATGTTCCTTCTGCACACGTGTTGGATTCTGTTGAAATTTCTAATAAAGAAAACTACCGCATCCCTGCACCACACACTCTAAAGGATATCAGGTCCCCCATGTCTCCCTGCCGAAGGACTAGCAGGGTACAAGGAGGTGCTCGTAAAGTATCTGGTAGAAAACGGTTACTAAAGGTTTCTTAGACATGCTAAGCACCTTTCTACAGCAGGATTTTCTATGCCTCTTTCTGCTCGATTCCCATAATGCTATTGTAATAATCATTCACAAATGAGGATGCTAACAGAAGCTAAGTAACTCTTTTAAAGATATAGCTAATGGACCAGAGCTGAAACTTGAACCTGGGTTCTTTCTGACTAGGGCATCGACCTGAAGCTCTATGTTCTCGGTCTCAACTGCCAAGTTAAAACAATTAACAACAAACCCACTTATTACTATATACAAGTAAGTAAAATAAACAGAAAACTTATACATCGCATAGTTGTAGCTTACTAGGTTAAAATGTATCAAGATTTTTTAAGCTTCATTTTCTCATAGCATTGTACCTCACACAAAAGAAAAATTCTACAGAAATCACAAAAGGCCATCCTAACTTAATTTTATCAATTTTGAGTAGCCACATTAATTACTAGAGAGGAGATAAATAATTTTCTATTTAAGATTTGCTACCTGTATCAAACACTGAGAAAGAACTAATGAACAATAGTTAACACTGCTCATTTAGGTAGCTTCATTCAGAGACCTACATTCAGGGGGGTTTAGATTTTCACCAGCAGCTTTGTTTTTCAGAGTCAAAAAGTACTAGATCAGAACTTTTTTACTTATACCAGGTCACATAAACAATAGATGAGGAAACAGAACAAGTGGCTCCTTTAGTGAACTGAATTAGTGGGAAAATTCTAAACTTCTCTGGGCCCCACTTGCCTACCTGAATACACAGCAAGTGACCTAATTCATACAGCTTATTCTTGCACTTAACATTTTACCTTTCAATGAATATTTGGGCATCAGTTCATGAACAGAGAGCTCACCTTCGTACAGTTCTAAATTCAAATGTGAAGCAGTGATTACAACTAGCTCCCAAGTTCAATTTCTCATGTCAACCCACTCAGAAAGATTACTTTTTATTGAAAAGTCTTTCTCCCCAGGGTAATCCATAAAGTCTTACCAAAAAATACAACAAACGGAAAATGTCAAAATATCCAGAGAAAAATATGCCAGTGTGTCTAGCACTGATCATAAACTGTTTGACAAAACAACTCTGTCATTTCAAGGCCTTGCTTTTAGAGACCATCGTTGACTTCCAAAACCCAGAGAAGGAAAATGTCACCCTTAATGTCGGTGACAAATCTGCCAATCTGGCAAGGTCTCCTCTCAAATGTACGTGCTGCACATGGCTTCACTCAACACAGTAACCAACTATCATTCCGCTTTCTGACATGAGACAAATTTACACTAATGCCACAGGCAGAGGTTCCTAAAGAGCCCTGCATGTATGCCGAGTCAGCGTGCCTCACAGCAGCTGCCACAGCTGCTTCAATGACACAAACTACATAGAGTAAGAACTGGGTCAGGGGTATATGACACTTCCCCACATATCATCTTACGTTAGCAGTCACCCCACAGGATCCAGGCAACTGACACAATGACTGACATGGGCCGGCAGGCAGAAGATGATGACTACGAAATGACCCTTGCCCTCAGTGACAGTCGCAAACCAAGCCGCAGTGGGGACTGTAGCACGTACAGTCTAAGCTTAGTCTAAAGAGCCAGGCTAGAGCCCAGACAGTTGGAACTATCTGGAAAGACAGGTTGTACTGCCAGAACATCCGAGTGTCAAGAAAAGCTGGAGACAGGTGTTCTCAGGTTTTCTTGACTACTTAGATTATGGCTGCCAGCCTTTGGGGGAATCCTGAAGTAATATACAAAGGCTCAATGTTAATGATGAACACACGAAAGGCAGAAAGTTAATCCAATCATGTTGTCTGCATGTGGGTCTTTGAGCATGTGATCAGATCAGACCAGGTTGCTGGCTTCGCGGGGAGAAGCCAGAGAGATGTGTGTGCCGCTTGTGTCTGTCTCCTGGCTCACCACCCAATGGTTCCTCTGCCCGTGCTGCACCATGTCCCATTGATCACCCTTATCAGACATCCACCCAACGGGGCCGCAAGAGTGTGTAATGTGAACCCCCAAAACATAATCCACAATAAACCACCTTCCTTCTTAAACAGCTCCTCAGACACTGGTTGTATGGATGAAATGCTAACACAGTGATCTGAAGCAGAGAGTCTACCACCTTTGCCATCCTTAAGTAGGTAGTCCAGAACTTTATTAACTACAACCACATGACTATACCATGGAGCTCCAGAACTTACTTGTCTTGCAAAACTGAAACTATAAATGCAGTTGGTTAACAACTCCTCATTTACCACTTCTTTCCTTCCAGGCCCTGGCTACCACCATTCTACTGTGTTTCTGTAAATTTGATTACTTTAGGATACCTTACTTTTTCAAATGCTGGCAACGAATAAAACTTGTAACAATCTGGGCAACTACACACTGCTAACTCCACATGAAATTTATGATTATCTAAAGCACTTTAAAGTCTTAGGACGGCCAGAGCCAGCTGGACGAAGTACAGGTCGGCCATCCACGTCAGACAGTGCAGCTGTGCTTCTGTCCCTGCTTGTTCTCTGCAAAGACTAAAGCTTGAAGACATGCTTTTCATGAATTCTTACCATCCCTGCTTGATGCAAGAACCACATGAGGTAGTCTTCCTGAATGTCCACAAGGCTGGAAATCTCAGGAATGTAAAAGGTATCATATTCCACATGTTTCACTTTAAGATTCACCTGATGAAAGACAAAGTAAGGACAGGTAAAGCCCAGGAAAAAAAAAAGTGACTTTCCTGGACAATATCCCCACAAACACTTCACCCCGCCTACTCACTTTCCAATGGTTCCTAATAGGCTCACCTTATATAACTTCTCCAGCAGCTTGAGAGCTGCAGTAACGTAATTGTTAAACAGTACCGGAATTAAGAACGTCTTTCTTCCCCTGAGCAGATACAGGACTGCACCTTTATAGAGGTTAACCAGCTTCGTGAAGTATTTTGGGCACACTTGAGACCACCAGTTATCTTAAGAAAGACAGACAAGACATATTTCAAAGTGTACTCTTGAGCAAATCTGTATGTCTTCTGCCTATCAACTAAAACTCTGCTCTGGTTAGAGGATAAACGTGGGTCTACAACGCAGCTTCCCAAAACTGACTTTAAAAAGAATCCATTCAAACATTTTTGGAAAGAGCAGGAACTTACGAGAATCCCTGCAGCTTTCTCTGTAAAGCCTTTGCTGAGCTTTCTCAAAGACTCATGCCAGAGGCTAACCTGGATGCTTAACCACACGCACTTACTAGAGAGATGCACAGATGGGTCGGGGTACTGTCACGGTATCAGCCCAAACAGCATTCCTACTTCCTGGTCCTTTCCCAGACACCACTTAAATCCTGCAGCCCACAGATGCAGAGTAGCATCCTGGGAATATCATTCCTTCCAATTCAAAGGCATAGTTATTTGGAAAACTGTCTTGTTTTGCGCTAAGGCTTTGCTTAATCAGACAAGACGCCTACACTACCGGCTCTGCCTTTGTCAGAAACAAAGCCAGTCAAGCTGAAATATTTACAAAGTGAAATGCTATAATGTCTGTTATTGCTTGTAAAATATTTTGGCAAAAATCTTAAAAGGTAGCAATATGCAGCAGGGACTAGATTAAACAAAACAAAAAAAAAAAAACACTGACACCTGTGTTGCATACATCTTGTGTTTTCCCTTCTTTGGGATAGTCACTTACATTTTGAAAATGAAGATGAGCTAAAAATAACTTAAGTGTAACACCAAACAACTCTGATGCCTTGTGTTATCTCACCTGCAAAAACTAAAATTTAAAGCCCCCAAACTTAGCAATACTTCTCAGAGACTGCCCTCTATCTCACCTCTGCTAGAACACCTGAAAAAATGTCCCAAGAGACATTTGCCGTTATAAAAAAAAAATGCAATACTGACAAGGTGACTACCGCTTTCACGACTACTGCTGGCCTCTCTCTTTCGCAAAGGTGGCGACAATGAGACAAAGTCAGTATCCCACCACCAGCCACACGGGTCCCTGTGCTCGGGGGACCACACTCAAGCAACATCTGAGTCCATCCGGAACGCAGAAGCTACTGAGCTGCTAACAAACACCTAAAAAATTTACCAGGGGGGAAAAAATTAAAAGCCAAATGACAGACTTTGTGATTAACAAAAACATCTCAGGCGCTACTCCCATGAGAGACACTCTCCAATTCACTGAGGAACGGAAGGTTCTTATCTCAGCAAAGTGTCCGGAGCCTGCAAAAATCAGTGTTCACTCAACTGTCCTAAAAAAGAAAAACAAAACAAACATTTGGTAAGTCCCCACTAGGTCATTTTCTTCCTCTACTTTTTTTTTTCTTTGTGGACACTTCTGTATCACGTAAACTTCATTTCACTCCCACCCCGTAAATGAGGTTTAAGAGACAAACAGACGGACACTAACTTCTGAGGCACTATTTCCATAACAAAACTGGGGAGAAAAAAAATAAGTGGTTTAAAATAATCTAAGTTTGTGCTTATTTCAAAATCAAGATGAATCTAACATGAATCATTTCAAACCACCTAAACAAAGGCTCCGTTTTCTCACAATGCAAATGGGGTATGCTAGAAATCAACAGCAAAGAAAGAAAGGTTCAAATATTAGGGATATTAAATGAGAACATGTGAATTTTTGGATTTCAATCCACTGGAAGCCAGCAGTCACACCAACAAAATTAAAAAGCACAAAACCACTGGTATTGAGCTTTAGAAATTCACCTAAAACTTTGCTGGGGTTGGTGTCCAGCCGGAGAATAGCCATTGCCAAGGGGATAGTCAAGGTTATATAATACTTAGAGTCCTGGAGCAGAGGAAACTCAGGCAGTATTAAATAGATTCGCATTGCTTCAACATCTGGAGGCGAACTGGACAACTGTGGAATCAGACAACTTTCAAAGCTATTCAAGATCTGCAGGAGAGAACAGAGTAATGAGAAATTCAGACACACCTGAGATCTACTTTACTCACATCTAAATGCATGAACTGTTTTGTGGATTCACATCAAGGTGCACTGAGAAACTACAGCAGCCAGGCGCTGTTTAGCTTCTCAGGACACATCAGTGAAAAGAAAAGCCAAGGTCTTTGTAAACTCAGAGTATTTCCTTGACAAGACTTAAGCCAAAAGAAAGCAAAAGATAAAAGAGAAATTGTAAAAAGAAAGTAAAAGACGGGCTCAAATTCCCAAAGTGATGAATGCGCTGTATACATGTAAGGAACATACCTGTTCAAGGATCATGGAGTGCTGAGAGTTCATTAACTTCTCAAATAACACCCTGGTTGAGTTCAGGTCAATCCCAGGGACTTTGGGACTTGTTTTAAAATGTTCATCAATTCTAAATACACAAAACATGTAAAAGAATGTAATAATAGAAAAGCAAAGCAAATCCTCTGACTGGAATGTCAAGCAGATAGCTAACAAAATCGTTTGCTCATCCTGATGAGATTTAAATTGTATCTGACTACCTACACTCTGGGAGAAGCCCAACAATATTAAACTCACAGGTTTAAACTAGTACATCTTTTTTCCTTCGAATGAAAAGACCCTTTCAGGTTGAGACTATCTTGAGGTATACGTGTCGAGTACTATTTCCCTGACTGACTTGTGGTCTTCGCCTTTCTCTCCACATGTGGTGTTCTGAATGAGATGCATGTGTGGTGGCTAGGAGCCAAAAGCATCCCCAGCCTAATCTGGCCCACTCATCAATAAATGGCAAGTTCCATTACTCTAGGTGAAGCCTAATGAATAAAGAATTAAAAAAAAAAAATCAACTTTACACCAAAATGCAAGTTAATGTCTCTCACTTAACACGTGAGAAGCAATCACATTCAACCAAAAAGTAACGTCACAGAAACTGTTCTTAACTTTCTGGCAACGAAATCACTTCAATTTTAAATAAAATCTTCATTTTTTAGACTTTGAGAAAATCTTTTTCAAAATTCTTATTTTTCTTAAACATATCCATCTATTAGCTGACAAAAGAGGTTATCACCTATTTACAAAACAGGCTTCCATTTATGAGTACCAGGCTTACTAATAGTCAACATTCTCTAACTGTAATGCTACACTGCATGAGAACACCCACTGGGTTTCTAACATCAAAAAGAGAAATTGTACATGTTGGAATTCAAATGGTAGAAACCAGAGAAGTAGTGTGAACTCTGCCAGACTGGTGTTCTAAAATAAAACTAAATGTGCCCAAACATGGACATTATTTCTCATCTCCTATATAAAAACTTTCACATGCTTAGAGATATTTTGTATGTTGTTAAAATAATGTATGTATTCGTATATTTGGAATTCATATTGATTGATTTCCTTTGACTTTAAAAATATCTATCTATCTATCTATATTGGAAAGTCAGAATAACAGGGAGAGGCAGAGACAGAAAGAAGACCTTTCATCCACTGGTTCACTCCTCAAGTAGCCAAAAAGGCTGGAGCTGAGCCATTTCGAAGGCAACAGCTAGGAACTTCTTCCAGGTCTCCCAAGGCTTTGGGCTGTCCTTAACTATTTTTCAGGTCACAAGCATGGAGCTGGATGAGAAGTGGAGCAGTCAGGACATGAATACATGCCCATAAGGGATCCTGGTGCATGCAAGGTGAGGGCTTTAGCCACTAGGCTACTGTGCTAAGCTCAGTGACACTTTCTATATTAACTGGGAAAGTAGGTTTCCCAAACTAGCACAGATGTCAGTTTAAAAGGAATCTATCATTAAATCTAGAGACTCAAAGCTACCAAAGATGAGCAAACCAACATGGTTGGTCAAAAGCTATACCCTGCCTTCACAAAAACCACCTTTCTAAAACAGAGCTCCTTAGCCTTGGGACTACTGACTTTTATAACCAAACAGTTCTCCACCAGGCAGATGGGCCTGGAAAACGTCTACATTGGCCTGGCCTCCACCCTCAAGAGTAGGTCTCTACCCTCTGGTTGAAACAACCAGAAATGCCATTACACATCGCCAAACGTCCCCTCAAGGACTTTCTGCAACCTGCCTGGCCTCCACCCTCAGGAAGCCAGTAGTATACTCTTAACCCATTGCAACAACCAGAAATAACACTACACACTGCCAAACATCCCCTGAACAGCAAACCACCTTGGGCAAGAACTATTATTAGAGAAGACCAACATCTGCAAAATCTGGAATATTTATTCCTAGAAAAAAGGTTAATTACTAAATGAACTAAGTCATTTGGTCCAGCTGCTCTAACTATACAAGTGACCTTACAATCTTTAACCAATGCTAAAGAGAGCTCCCGAAGCAATCTCTTGAAACCTGGTTCAGGAAACTTTTTTTTTTTTTTGATGTGCAATGGTTTATTTTAGTCATCAACTTGAAATACCTACAGACCTCAAGCATTATGTCTGTGTATGTCTGTGAGGGTATTTCCAGAAGACCCTTGAATAACTAGAAGGAAGATCTACCCAATCAGCTAAGGGCTGAGATTACCTCTCTCTTCCAGAGCTGGAGACACACTCTTCCAGCCTTGCACATTACAACTCCAGGTTTTGAAGTATTTGGACTCCGGCACTTACACCACTGGCCCCTCAGATTCAGCCTCAGACTGAGGGCTACTCTGTCAGCTTCCTCAGAACTAAGGTTCTGGAATTTGGACTAAGTCACACTTCTAGCTTCCCTAATTCAGCATCTTGCACATGCCATTCATGAAGCCCCTCACCCCATAGTGTGAGTCAGTTTCCATATCAAATCCTCCATTTACCACCAATCTCCAACTTTCATCCACCCAGCCATCATTCTCCTGTCCCTCCTTTTATCTATGTTATCCTATCCTGTCCTGTCCTGACCTATCTTCCATATCCCCTTCTTTGTAGAACCATAAGTAATGCAAGAGTTGAGTAGCACAGACAGGATTTATAAACAGAACTGAAGGCCAACTCATTGTGACTTCTCAACAGCCTGCTCACAGAAAAGAACTGAGAGATGACCAGGACTTGGGATTAGCGAAGATGCAAGCCCAGGAAAGCACCCTTACACTCCACCCTATTCTTGAGCTGCCCACTTGTAGAAAGGATAACACAGAGTGAAGAGACATTCTATTGACAATTTGGCAGGTAAGCTTGTTTAATTTAATTTGTGAGTTGGAATTGATTCCAAGGAGCTCCTGAAAGCCTTCTTGGAACTACTCCCCAAGCTCATTTCTTTTGAAAACCTATGCCAACCAAGCTGAAGAAATTAAGGAGATTAAAGAATTAAGACAGTGGAACAAAAAGTGCTTTAAAAATGGGCACTAAAGAATACACACACAGTCTCTCTGGCAATCTGCTGCATTGCCAAGTGCACATGAATCAGCACTGCCCTTGCTGACATCCTCACGCATCATTATTGGGCATTCTAATCTTTGTACAAAGTGTCACTGAATGAGGGCCCACCACTATCAAGAGCAAGAGTTGCTCCCAGCCTTTGCTGGGTAATTGCATCACAGCTGAGTTTCTAAAGACTCTAAATCACTTACTTTTTTTCCAGAAAACTTCCATTCCAACAGGCTGCAGAAGATAATATCTGAACAACACCACTGCTCAAAGAAAAAGAGGAAAGGCAGCCTTTAATAATCACAAGTAATAGGTAAACAACATCATTCAATCCATTCATCCTGTTAGAATGAGTTTCCCATCTAGAGCTCTTTCTTGTGCAGATGAAGTCTTGAAAAATATACACAAGTATTAAGAAGACAGTGTGTTACACCTGACAAGAACCAAAGTTTCCTGTATGTATATTTTTAAGACGGTCAACACTTCTTGCATGAAACACTTGCCCCTGGAAACCATGAGGAATAGTCTTCTACCAACAACCACTCAAACATCCCCTGGCTCACCCAGACATAAACACAAAATAAAACCAAAAAAGGGCTGCTGAACTGCTATTTCCTAAACATAGAAATTATCCTGGGAAACTAGTAACTGATCAACTACTTCTATTTTGTTGCTCACCTTTGAAGAACACTAAAACTTGGTGAAATGAGTACTTATTCCTTTTACCCAAGGTTACATGGGCTCCAGGAAAATAGCTGGTTTCTGAGAACCCATAGTGAGATGGCATGTCTGGAGCCTTGGGCCCTCTTATTTAGTATAAAACCAAGGAACAAATGCACGGTTAGGAAGGAAACTTCAGGAACTTCTGTTAATTATAAAAATTGGGGTCAGAAAAGATGTATGAAGATCCTGCTAGCATCCTTCCATTTTGTAAATGAGAAAACAGAGAGAAGGCAAGCACCCTATTACCAGTGCCCTGGACAACGACCAGTCTGTGACCAGTCTGGCCCTCTGCCCCTCTCCCCTACACTCCTTAGCACAGCCGTACAAAGGTTTCAGGGAATTTAAGATTTTTTTTATTGGAAAGGCAGATATATAGAGAGGAGGAGAGACAGAGAAGATCTTCCATCCAATGATTTACTCCCCAAGTGGCCATAGGACTGGAGCTGCACTGATCCAAAGCCAGGAACCAGGAGTCTTCCAGGACTCCCACAGAGGTGTACGGTCCCAAGGCTTTGAGCCATCCTCAACTGCTTTCCCAAGCCACAAGCAGGGAACTAAATGGGAAGCTGGATCACCAGGATTAGAACTGGTATCCATATGGGATCCCGATGTGTGCAAGGCAAGGACTTAAGCCACTAAGCCACTACGCCACCACGCCAAGCCATTTCTAGGGACTCTGAGGAGAGCCATGGAACTGCCCTAGGACTTTCTCACTCAAAATGATACTCCCTGGAGGGTCCCAAAATCTAGAGGCCTGGGCATCTGTTCCATTACCAAGTCCTGTCACGCACATTTCAGGGAATGACCATAACCGAGTGAGCAGAATCTGATTCAATTCTCAGCAAGTAGACCAGAGATGCTAAGAAGGCCAAGAGAAACGTTTTAAAATGGAGAAAAATTTATCCTGTAAGCACAAGTTTGGTAAAAGTCTTCGTTGGTTTTTTTTTATTGTTATTAACATTGTATTATGTGATACAGCTTTATAGGCACTGGGGATTCCCCCCATTCGTTGCTTTTTATTACGCTTTTCCCTTACATGACTTTGAATCATTGTGAATGGGGAAATATTAGAAAAACCATTTTCACTAGGGAAATGCCAGAAATTACTCAGTTAAGATAACAATTGACTGGGATTCCAGAAGCTTTGAGATAAGCGTGTGAAGACATGCATGGGTTTATACAATGGTAACTCTGAATTCCTATAGCAGAAAGGCCTTATCAGATGTTTATTCACCAGCATTTCTAAGACTTTACACAGTACCTGACCTTCCTGAATACACTTAGAAGAAAATTCCAATGTTATACTGAGCAAGGCAGGTGGAGAAATACACTCCATGTGAAAATTGAGGAACCACCATTATATTATCTGGGGTTAAGGAGAACAGACCCTGAATAACTACGTGTGTGAAAGAGAGAGAGAAAAGCAGAAAGAGATTAATTCCCTGGAATGTAAAATTCCATTTCTGTTCACAATGCCAATGTGTAAGTAGGAGAAATTCACTAAGCTAGAAAGTTCCAGCAGAACTTGGAAGAAAAAAATAAAGTGAAAACTAGCAACCACATACTTGATAGTATTTGCATTGTTGTGTTCTGACAGCTTCTGTCTCCAAATTGCTAAGGTTTCATCGTTTATTAAACTGGTATAATGCGCTTGGTTCACAGTCCGGAAGTCAACAGCAGGAGAAGAATTCTAGAAAATTAAACATAATGGTAAGAAAGAAAAGTTACATGGCATGGAATTTTTTTTCTCCTCTAAGTCCCCTCCAAACTCCCTTTCCGTGTTTCCCATGCTAGGAGGTGTGCACCACATTGCTTCCCACCAATCAGAAGGGAGATGGTCACACCTCCAGTTGCCTGGAATGCAGAATCCTAAAAGCTCTCCCAGACTTGCTTTTTTCTTCCCATTCAAAGAGCAGCTACATAACAAAAATTCTAACACAAACTTAAAATAAAATATAGACTCTGAATGGTTTCCTCATTTCTCATTATATGTCTACCAATCACACATTTTGCAGAAATAGTGGTAATGAACTTGGTTGCAGCCTCATGTTAATAAGTGAGTCAGAGCTTAACAAAAACACAGCCTGTTCTTGGCTCCTGTTGGTGACCCAGTCCCTGGGTGAGCACGCCACTTCATCATCAGTCTCTGGACCTCAACAAACACCTGTTGTTAGAAGGGTAAGTAAGCACATGTATCAGTTTCAGTTTTTCATAGGGAATGATACCTTATTAAGGAGTATTTGATTTTGGTTTCCTTTTCCTCTGGTAGCTTCCATTTTCAGCAACTAACTTTTTCCAGTTGTTCACACTCAACCTGCCCTGTCTCTCCAGTATAGGCAATGCCACCCCAATCCCTTCTGCACCTGCTGTTTTCAGCTGCAACCAAGCTCACTACCATGGCTTTAACATGCAAACTCTGTGTATCAGGATGGTTATAAAAGCAATAAAACCACATTCTATGTGGAATTTGTAGAAAAATCCAGGTTGTATAATATTACTGAAGTCCATTTCTGAAGGGAACAAATATTTAGCACTCTACTACCTGCACACACAAAGCCATCATCCTTCAGAGCAGAAGGGATTTTCCTATTTTGCTTTATTGGCATCTTGAAGAAACCAAGAATGAGCTCAGCCTGCCTCAGAATCTGTCCGGGAAGCTCTGAAGCTAGGCCTAAAAAGGTCTAGCAATGTGGTTCCAAATCACCCCAGAACGTAGTACTCCACTGCCTTCTTCATGCCCTGACCTGGCAAACAGCCCATGGCCAGCTGCATCTGTCAAGAAAGGAGTGGCAGGCACCTCAGTACCTTTTCTAGCAGAAACCAGAGAACGACACCATCTCCGAGTGCTCTGTGTTGACAGATGGCAGTGTAGCAGACCAAAGAGGGCAGCCAGGACTGGAAAAGGGCCCAGTGTTTCCACAGCTGCTCATTTTCTCCCCAGCAAAGTTAGGTTCCCCTGGATCACTAACATTCCATTTGCCGTCCCAGCAGGGGGATTGAAGGAGCAGGGTGCCACACACAGGCAGTCCTAGGAAGTTCCAGGGAAGGGAAGAGTGGGAAAAGCACAGGATGGAAAACTAGTGAAGGTGGGGGATGCTGTAAACAAATCTGAAAGGTTCTTTGCAGACAGAGCATGGAAAAGTGGAACAGAAGGGGTGGGGGGAATCCCAGAGCCTATGAAACTGTGTCACATAATGCAATGTAATTAATTAAAAATTAATTAATTAATTTTTAAAAGAGAAGTGGAACATGTGGATGCCTTGTTCCAGCTGCCAGCCTTCCAGCTGAAGTCCAGCAGGACCCTAGAAGGTGCTTCTCGGCTTTATCATCATGGTGATATCGGAGACCAGAACAGGGAAACTGGTCTCTCAAGGTGGAGTCTAAAGCAGGTTACAAACTATTTTAAAATTTATTAACAGTGTGACATCTTTCCCATGCATCATACACTTAATTTTTTTTGAAAATTCATTTTAATTCCATCTTGAAAGATAGACAAAAAGATCTTCTATCCACTAGTTCATTCTCCAAATGCGGTAACAGCCAGGGCCAGGCCAAGCGCCTGGAAATCAATCTGGGTCTCCTACCTGGGTGATTGGGATCCAAGTATTTGAGCCATTATCTACTGCCTCCCAGGGTACGCAATAGCAAAAAGCTGGATGAGAAACCACAGAACCAGGTCTCCACCATACACTGTGACAGGGGATGAAGGTGTCCCATACAGCAACCTAACCCAGGGAACCGAAACAACCACCAAGACACTCAACATCTAACAAAGAAACTGAGCTCCAAACACCTAGCGTTTGCTGCTGCTTACAGGAAAAGGAAGAAAAAGGAAAGTCAAATAAACCAAAGAAAACAAAGTCTCCTGACCTCCTTAGATTTCTTTTGCAACACATATGGATTTAATAATTTTGAGTTATACATTAAAAATCTATGGTTATAATACTGGGGAAAATATTGACACATCAAGGCAGCAAAATAAAGGTAGTTCCTCAAGGTCTATTCATTTCCATATGGCAAAACTGCTGGAAGCGGGGTATTGTGGCACACGTGTAAATATTTTCTGTAATAAGTACCGGGTCATCAACATTTCCCCCAACAGACAGCAGTCCAAAAACATTTTACCTCATACTTGGAGCAAAGAACAAAAGTCTGGTCTCCTCCAGAGAAGATCTGCTTAACAATATGATATTTAAAGCGATCTGTCAAAAGAAGATTCCAACATCAAATTTCTTTCCAACAACTGAAATTTCTTTTCAATCTTTTTCTACACTGCGGAACATGCTTGAGTGGCTTCCTAACCACATTAATTATGGCACAGGAGTAAAATCTCTCTTGGCTCGCTAAGATTATTTCTACTTCAATAATAAAATACATAAGATAGGATCCTCCAATCTAACTCTGGCCCACCCCTCCCCACCCACCAGCTAATCCTGTCCTCTTTTCTTTTTTATTTCCACTCTCATGCCACTGATCTGCAATCTAAAATTGTCTCTGCTATAAATGGAAACATGTGCCTGACAGCTACACATGAGCGTGGTGGCCTCCAACCCCTTCCAGATGACGTTGGCTATGTAAGGACCTCACTTCCTGCTCCCTGCTATACCTCTCTCATCACACCAGGTCCATGTTGCCACTCCAATGCCACCCTGCTGTTTTTTCTGAGGCCTCGCGACATTTCCTGTCCCCACCCTGCAATGCATATTGTATCCTCCATAAATAGCATCTCCTGGCCCAGAATCCAAACAGTGCTCCCTCACCATGCCCCCTCTGCCCGGCTAACTCCAAACCATCCAAGATAACAGCTCAGACTTCCCCTGGCAGGAGTACTCCTGCAGACTTCCCTCATGGCTCCGACCTTACCTTACCATGAAGGTTCCAAAACTGACAGTATGTGTCACTAACATAAAACAGACCCATTTAGGGTTAAAGTCATTTTGGCAAATAACCAAGAACCAATTTATAATATAAGTGAGGCTGTACAATTCAACTTCAAAACTCTGTGCTGTCCAATTAACCTACAAAACATTGCTATTTTAGAAATAACTACAGTATTTTCAAATATGAATATAATGCCTGAGGGAAAAGGAAATTAACAAATGACAAAGACAACACCATTATTTTTAGGAACATCACACAAACAAAATCTTGCTTTATATTTTAAGCTCCACTACATTTTCAAATGCTTATTCATAAATCCTTTCCATGAATATTTGCTGAGTAACAAGATTACGCCAGGTTCTGCGCTCCATGCTACGTTGAGAAAAACTCAATCTTTGTCCTTAAATTTCTCATAATCCAGTAGGGAATTTTACTACCGTTTAAAAAGCAAAACAAAACAGAAAAGTCTTGATGAAGCCATAAATGTGTCATTTTATAAACTTCAAAATCAAAATTTATTATTAAATGATACTTCTTTTTAAAGATTCACCAGTTGATTTCAACCTCTGGATATGCTATTTCAAGAGCTGAAGTGACTGTCTTAATGAATTAGATAATCCGCTACATAATTTTTAGGAGGTTGGGAAAAGGTGGTATAAAAAGAAATGTTATAAGCAAAAGACCAACATTATTCTTAGTTCACAGGTTTTAGTATGTGGCAGGTGTGGGTTCAAATCCCATCTTCAAAGCCTATGTGATGCTGGGCAAGTTCTCTAATCACCTAATTCCTCCTCTCTAACATGGGAATAACAATCATTAGATTCCAAGTTGTTCTGAGTGCTTAACAAAATAATGGAATGTGGTTAAACACACAACATTAACTATAATTATTAGTAACAATAATAAATTACATACATCATCACCAAGATCCTTGAGGGATATAATCACATTTTCAGCTTTATTTATTCTCTAAGCTCTCAGTTTCAGGGCTCCATGTATAATAAGTACCTAAATATCTGCCAATTGATGTCCACAAAATAATCTCACATCCACTCCTTCCAAAGTAACAGACCCCCAGGGTACAAAAACTTTTGATGGTCTAAATTACTCTTTAATTCCATTGAAAATCACTCCTACCTGCTCGGGCTGACAGTTGGCCACTGTGGGCAGCCCAGTAACCCTTCACGGGAGATGGGCATTTAACGTTACAAGTGTGTCCAGTTCCCAGCTGACCTCGAGATCCACAACCAAATGCATAGATGAGTCCAGAAGAAGGCACAAAGGCGAGAGTGTGCTGCCTGCAAGGAAGTAGGTTGTTAACTCACAGCCTAGTCTTTTCTGACAGGGACCACGCTCAACAATTCCCAGAGGACAGCATGGGGGTACCAAGGAGCACCCCAGCGGTTAGCAGGTGACAGGTGTGTGTGGCTGGTTTTCTGTGACCCCATCCTTCAGTGACCCTCAAGTTCATGGGCAAGAGAGCAACTCATGGAAACAGCTAAACGATATGCTGTTCTTGATCTCTAGCAGAAGAGGGAACAAGTAGGGTGCCGGAAGCCATGCAGTTGGAACAGATGGAGTGAGAGTGTGATGAGCACAGGTCCTTGGTTAGCAAAACTATGAGGAGTTTCTGGCTGTGTGGCAAGGCCCGGCAGAATGACTCTAATCACCTCATTGCTGTCTCACCCCATTGTATGGACACCCGATCACTTCAGTGATATTTTATAGAATTTTCCTGAGGATGTTATTTTTCTACAAATGTGAAATGATTCCTGTAACTGGTATAACATCTCGAACTGATCAATCATGTTATGGTAAAAGGGTCATTAGCAACTTAAGGCAATGACACAGAGCTAAAAGCATACAGCACAATTGAGCCCACACTGTCCCCAAACATCCTGTTCCATGCCCACCTTTTATCCTGCAATTTGCCCTAATATAAGTAATGTTCTCCTTAAGAAATGGCTTGGTAATATCTTGGAAACAGATGGCAATCTGTCTATTTACCAGGTAGCCTCAAATTGCTGCATTATATGAAATGACACATTGTGGCTTCCCAGCACGTGAAGGAGAAAGTATATGGGGCATCTTCTAAAGGGAGACAAATATTGTGAGCCCTCACAAGAAAAATGGTTTAAAACTTCTATCTTATGTTGGCACTTATATTTAGGGAAAGAAAACAATTTAAAAAGATAAAAAGAAATGTCTTGTAAAGGCCCTCTGTTCATAGAAAGGCTGAGTTGCCCTGATTCTTTTTACTGCCCTTCAACAAAGGAACAAAAACCAATTGAGGGCCTGGCATGATAGCGTAGTGGTTAAGGTTCTCGCCTTGAATGCAATGTGATCCCATATGAGCACTGTTCTGATCCTGGTGGCCCTGCTTCCCATCCAGCTCTGGTCCTTGTGGCCTGGAAAAGCAGTGGAGGAGTGCCCAAAGATTTGGTACCCTGCACCCATGTGGGGGACCTGGAAGAGGGTCCTGGCTTCAGACTGGCTCAGCTCTGGCCATTGCAGCTGCTTGGGGAATGAACCATCGGACACAAGATCTTCCTCTCTTTCTCTCCTCCTCTCTGTGTATCTGCCTTTCCAATAAAAATAAATAAATCTTTAAAAAAAATTGAATCAGTACTTGGTGAAGTTGATGGTAATTAGTATATGACTGATTATAAGATTTAATAAAGAATCTATGATATATGCCTTTACAAATCACTTTCATCTATGAGCTTTCCTTTTAATTCGGTAGTCTTGATATTTTAAATAATATTAGTTTAGGTTTAGTGAAAATTGATCTTGGGTATAAGTAAACCAACTGTCACTATGTAACCGCATGTGCTGCCAAGCAGATCACTGCAGGTTTGAATGAGTAATAGCTTGCTGAAAATATTTTCTCTGAAGCAAAATAATAATAATGTTTTAGGATTGTTTTTATAATCATTCTTTAATAATAAAGTAAAATGAAACAACTGGATGTTGTGCAAAAGCTTGTGAAGATTTCTGTATAAACAAGGCAACTTTTTGGGTTGTCCATTATGAGCATCATTCCATAGTGGTCCACATCTGCTCCTTGTCTTCTCACCAATCCACGCATCCTTTGCAAGCTTTCAAGTCAGCTGGAGCTGGTCTTCGGCAGTGGGGTAAACACAGACACATTTTCCAGGAAGACCAAGGAACTTCTACCCTTTCCTTTCTTTATCTCTTGTCCACATCTTCCTACTCCTTATCCCAAAAGAGGACAGTATCTTCATGTTGCTGTGCTCGCCTAAAACCCATCCTTGCTCCACACCCTATTAAGGATCTGATTTCCTCCACATTTCATTGTAGGTATACACGCACTTTCTACAGTGGTTAGGTCCATTCCCTGTGTTTAGACAAGATCCATTTCTGGGGCTTAGCAGATGTCCAGAGGCTCAGAGGAACACTCACCTGCCACAAGCAATCTGAGTTACTTCACTGCCCATAAGTTCTAGAACTCTTCTTGGATTAACCTCATCATTCATGGAGTCATGTCCAAGCTGCCCACAGGAACCAGCGCCAAAGGTAAACACACCTCCACTCTGACAAGAAACAACAGCTTAGCACTTCACTGCATCTCAGTCTGAGGACACACCTCTAAAACCTGCACACAAAATTCCCATCACAGCACTTGTTATTCAGTCATAACTGAATCTTCATTATATTCATTAAAGGGGGTGGGGGGAAATGAGATTGAAGATCACATCTTTAAGAAACACAGATGAGCAATGCTCTTGGCTACATGGGCCATCTCTGAATTTCAAAAAAAAACAGTTTTGTGTGAGGAAGCAAAACAAAAACTAGAGACTGGAAGCTGGGGAAAAATGAGAGGATTTTGCATATTATTCACACAGAAAAAATTAAGTGTTCCATGAACTCCCTGGTAAGATTTCTTTACAGCTGTATCCCAATACGAGGACATTAACTGAAGTCAATCTATAAAGGTATTTGCTCAATATGAAAATGCATTTTCATTCTCTCTAGAATGCACCTGTATTTAAAAGAAAAAAAAACCAAAGGGATAATCTGAAAACACAAACTGCTATTTATTTTTCTTGTATTTAAATGGCTTGTTTCAAAGCAACAAAGGATATTGTTATGTACACATATGCACACATACATTGTAAATATTGTAATATATAATTGTAATATATACACACTGCATTTTAAAGTTATTTACATCAAAGACTTTTAAATGTTTCTCAGAGAGGTTGTACTATTACCAAAAAGGAAAACACAGACATAGAAAAAAAAAAAAAAGGCAGTCTCTTTTTATCACTTTGGAAAACAATCTAACAACAAAGCGTGGTGAGGTAGGCAGCTAGTTTAGGGTCACAACCTTGGAATTCACTCCCCACCACCTAGGTGTTTCCTCCAGCTCACCTGTGACTCTCACCCATCACCAGAGAGGGGACAGTAATGCATTGTAGTGTAACCACTCCCCTCACAGGCCCCTATAAAGGCTCATGATCAGGGGCTCACTCTTGGTCGTGTGCTTCCATGGCTCTGTCACTCTGACTCTTGCCTCCCCAGTACCTCTGAGGACATGTATCCCCTGAGCATGGCCCCTGTGTGTCTGTTTTTCTCACCCTCTGTTTACTGTTTCAGTGGGACAATGAGGATTGCAATGCTAAGATGCTTTGTATTTCTAATTTGTGTTCTATGGGGAGTTCCGGGAGAGGTGAGGCCTAGCAGTAGTAGAATGTGTGAATGTGTACAGAAAAGCAAGGAAAAGGTAATGTCTGCAGCTTTGTAAGTGTGTCCAGGTTATTCGTGGCATGTCTCTTAGGATGACTTATACTGTTGGGGAAGCTAGGACATAGGCCTTTAGCCTATGGACTTGAGGGTAATGACCATTTGTTCCTCTTGGGGTTTCAATGGACTGGATTGCCATATGGACTTGTGCTTTGCTATTTCTAGTGGGCCCTGTTATCACCAAACTTGGCTAATAAAGACTCCTTAATAAACCTTAGACATATGTGGCGTGATCTCACTCACACCCCACCACAAGAGGGGGCACTTAAGTTAAAAAACACAGCACCATAATTAACTGTCCAGAACCAGAGCAAGTGCCCTCACCTTTGTGAGCACTGCCGTGTGTTCTTCTCCACAACTAATATAGACCACTTTCTGCGTGCGTAAGAGTTTCACATGGCATGGAGACTCTCGATCTGGAACAAGACAAATGCCACAATGTCACTGCCACTTACATACCAAATCCAATTACTCCTACTTCCTCCTACATCAGTCTACCCACCGTCTACCCACCTTGGCCCACCATAACTGAAATCAAATTGGATTACTCCAGTCTTCAAAACCCTCAGGGGGTCTTCTCCCCATGCTGAGAGATGCAGCCAGAATCTTTGCCCTGCCCTACAAAAGCCACTGGGCACTCACTCTGATGCTCCTCCTCTTGCCCCCACACAACATCATAGGTTTTGCACAGCCTGTTCCCTTTGAGTAGAACATTCTCTATGCAGACAGCCATGTTGCTGTAGGAAGTTACTTGACTGTAACTTGACTCTGCTCAAACTTCTCTTATCAAGTGAGGCCATTCTGTAAAATGGTAAGCTCACTCTCAAACTTTGACATGTTATTTCATTTACTGGTTTGCTGTTTGTTTCCACTTACTTCAAGAATCTCCACTCTCTTCATCTTCAAGGATGCTCTGTTTTATCTGCTCCCCACTGAGTACATAAACAGGAGCCCAGCATGCAGATCTCAAGAAGCACGTGTTAAACAACTAAATGTGCTTTTGAATTAAAGAGGTACATAGGAGAAGCTTACCTACCTTTTTCATCACTGAGCCCCAGCTGCCCTGCATTATTCATCCCCCAGCCAAAAACGGCTCCTGAGAGAGACAGGGCAAAGCTGTGAGCCCCTCCTGCAGCCACTTGAGCCAGCGGGATGCCCTCCAAGGACCTCACCCTCTGCGGGCTGGTCTGGGAGGGGAACTCCTTTCCTAAGCCCAGCTGTCCATGGCTATTCTTTCCCCATGTGAAAAACTGGCCATCTGAAATGACAACAGGACAACTGGCATTACCAAAACAATGCAAGTTCCACTTGTCAAAATAAGCCATTAATAGAGTCATTTGTTAGCTGCTCCAGAGAGAGACAGACACACACACACTTCTCCCACACAAGAGCACGGGAACAGAGAGACTGCATGCAACAGAACTGCCAAAACCAACCCTCCCACACACACACACACACACACAACAATACGTGACAATATAAAGATGATTTGAGCTTTAAGTATCCTTTGAAATGTAGTCACATTTATGCAAAGAAAATAACCAAAATGCAAGTAAGTTCAACATTAAACCAGCCAAACTCCAATCTTGGATCCACTGAACAAGCTAAACTTGTTCTGATCAGAGAGCCAAGACCTCAAGAGGTCCAGGGATGACCTCAGGAGGTTCTGGGCTACTCTCCAGGTGACAGAGGACAACTAAGTGTAGATTTAAGTGCCAGGTGCCAGGCACCAGGTGGTTAACATCTTAGCCTTAGGTGAAACAAATGGCAGAGTTATCTTTAGAAACACCCACTTGACCATGACATAAAAAGTCTGAGCCAGAGTTTGACTGATTTTGTATAAATAAAGTGGACAGCTTTTGTGTGTCGGCCATTATGATGATCAAGAGTTCCTAGTGGTCCGTCTCTCTTTCTTTGCGCCTCATCCACGCACCCTTCGCGAGTTCCGAACTCAGCTGGAGCTGGACTCCAGCACAAAGGTTTTCAAAAGTGCAAAGACAAGTACTTTCAAAATTAATACCAGTATATATTTAATGTTAGCTACATACATACCAGCTGCAAGAGCCAAGCAATGCCAGTTGCCACAGGAAACTTGTAATATGGTCTGTTGGTTCAGCTTCTGTATTAACCTAAACCAGAAAAGGCCTTCTTAAGATGGGTATTCACACACAAGTGTAGTATTTTCAACTCCATAAAAGATGTACAACATTGAGCACCATCTTTCCCCACAGACTTTCAACTCTACTATATAATCTTATACAATATATCTTTATTAGGTCTTTCACTAGCCTCCTGCCTATGATCTAAAACCCAAACATGGCTGCAGTTAGACTCTTCACCACAATCCTATTAACATTCCACATGGTCCCCTCTATTCAAGGACAAATGGAATGAGCCTTAAAATAGAGATCCCTCAGAATTCAGCTAGTATTTCAAATGGCTGGCTAATGTGTGGGTTGGTAATGGGATGGGGTGGACCGGTCAGGACTGAGCAAACCTTACCTCACAAGCAAAATTAGAAATCAGGATAGGGTGCACAGAGGTCATGCCAAATTAGGCTTTTGCACCTACTGGTCTGAGTGAGCCAGGGATGCTAAGCCACAGCACCTAAGGCAGGGGCTGGGACAAGTGAGGGACTGTGCCAAGCTGAGTCAGAGTAACCACTGACATGCGCATGGTCTATGGCTGGGAACAGGCCCGGTTGGGGAGCTAAGGGGACAACCCTAGCTGAGTTGAGGTTCCCACCAAGGGGCGTGTTGGCTGGAATGGGGGCTGCGTTCTGGTCAGGAAATGGTTGTAGTGTCTCTTGGCACAAGTGTGAACTGGGACTGGACACACCAATCCGGGCTAGACTCCAACACCATCTTGTGCTCTGGAGGACCATGGTAGATGTGGGACAGACTAGGTTTTGACCCCTACTGAGCCAAATGCGAGCTGTTCGTGGGTATGGACAAGCCATGGCTGGGCTGAAACATCCAACAGCAAGAACCAGTTTGGGTTGAAGGCCAGTCAGGAAAAGCCACTGTTCCTGCTAGGACAGGAGGTAAACTGAGTAGGGCTGGCTCATGGACCCACTGGTAAGCGTGAAACCTGGCATTGGGAGAGGTCCTAACGGAGGAGCCTGGGCAACTCCTCTGGCAGGACACAGACCCGGCAGGTAAGCGCAAGAAACATGATAGGAAACAGCCCAGAACAGGCCGTGTAAAGTTTCCCACTGGCATACATTTGGCACAGGTTGGGGTAGACCAGGCTGAACCAGTTCACACCATTGGCGAATCCCAGCACCAGAACAGAGTGTGGGTCGAGACAGGTTCGGTCATGACAAAAACCAGTTACATTACAGAATGCCAAAGTGAGGTGACCTGCACCAGATGCGACTGCAGCGCCCAACCAGCACGCATGAGAACTAGGGAGGGAAGGGGTGGAGCCAGCAGGGGAATATGGGGGGTGCTCCTCTGCTGGACAGCTACTCCCACTGGAGAGTGAGAGCTGGGATGGGGGCAGATCAGACTAGGCAGGGCTATAATACCTGTGGGCCTCACGTGGACTAGATCAGGGAAGCCAGGCTGTTAATTTTTTCTACTGGTGCAAACAAAACTTAAGAGTGTGTGAGGGTTGGTTGGGCTTAGCTACAGTATCAGCTGGCAGAAGCTAGCAGTGGGGACTAATTCTGTCAAGTTAAACTGTAGAACCACCTGGAGAGTGCACAATCCGGGAGTGGGAGTGGCCTAGAAGGGAACTAGTGGACTCCTCCCTCTTGGGTTTCCACTCCCACTGGAGAGCACAAAAAACCAGGACAGGGGTAAGGGTGGCTAGACAGAGGGCACCAAACAGCATGTGTGCGGGCTGGATAGTGGAGCTGGTTGGGTTAAACTAGGCTTCAATGCCCACTGAAGTGTACGAGAGCCAAATAGGATATGTGACAGACTGGACTAGTCCGCTGCACATACTGGCAAGCACGGGAACCAGTATAGGGGGTGGGCCTAGTGGGGATTATTGTGGGTCACTCCAACTAGGCTGCAGCTCACACTAGTTTATGTGAGGGCTGAGTGTGTGGTGGGCAAACTGGACTATAACACCCATTGGTTCCAGTGGAAGACAGGGCTGGAAACAGAACTGACCCAGCCATTGCAACCACCAGCTGATTGCGGCGATGGACTGTACCGGATCCCGTACTTGCTAGTATATACAAGAATCTGGTCTGGGTTCACCTCAGACAAAGTTTCTTTACAAATCACCTCAATCGAACTGCTGGACTCAGAACCCTAACCATGAAAAGACAGAGGACAGAACAATTGAATCAACTACCGCAGCCTTATGTTGGCAGTGAAAAACAGGGCAGAGACTCTAAGATGGACTATGTCAACCAATGGATTCTGCAGCAATCTTTCCGTACTTGGAGCGGTGAGATTGGTAGCAATTCATAACTGTTGAGCTATCAAAACCCACTTGAGCAAGACCCTCGGAGCATGCCCACAGGGACCTGAGACTGGGTGGGGGCTTCTCCCTTTACCTCCCCCTTTACCCCAGATATATATATATTTTTAAAAAAGGTGTGGAAATGATAGTCTTACCCACATTCTTCTAACCCTTGAACCTTTATGCCCTAATTAACTGTGTAAAGATTGTCAAACATATAATAAAAAAAAAAATGAAAAAAGAATTCAGCTAGTATTTAAATGGCTTTCAAAATACTGGAAATACTATGATCCAGTGATTTCATCTGTGGGTGTGTATCCACAAGGACTGAAAGCAGTTTTATCCACTTGTCCTCAATGGTAACACTGCACAATTCTAGTGTAAGTGAGGGTACAGACATGAATGTCATCTGTCAATCTCATTCCTAGTTTCCAGTTTCACCTGTATCCTTTTGTATGCATTAATTTGATCATCTATGCAGATTCAAGTATCCATCATCTCAATCATCATCATTAACTTTGAAGGCTCCACATCACAGGATCCCACCCATTGCACTTTATTAACTTCTCTTCAGGCTCTCAACACATAGCCCCTGCAACTGTTAACCAGTCATTTATTTTTGGAGTTTTGCCACTATAAAAAAAAAAAAAAAGAGTCTCATAGAATGAGATATTTTAGGATTGGCCTTTTCCACTTGGAATAGTTCCCTGGGTACTTACCCAAGTTGCTGTGTCTGTTAACAGACTGTAAAACTATCTTCTTTGCTAAAATTGGGAACTACACTAACCCCTGGAGGACCAATATTTCCAGAGCTGTTATGCAGTAACTGCCCTTCTTCCTGTCCAGCTTCCACTCAAATTCCCCATCATGTTCCCTCAGTGGATTACTGTGACCCTGTCAGAACTTCCAGAGTCACCATAGTAAAAGGAAAGCAGGACAAAGCAAACAACAAAGAAACTGTACCCATGAAGTGGGGAGGAAGCAGTGTACACAGTGCGAGCATAAGCTGTGTTTTATCTCCTCCTCTATTTTCCACAAGGTGAAAATACATAATTTCACTTTTATGTTAGGAAATTGAGGCTTACATATAATAAACTATTTGCCCAAAGTCACTCACCTTCTAAGTAATAGAGCCAGTTTTAGAAGCCAAGGCTGTTTGATTTCAAGCCTATGTTTATTTCCAAAACAGCAAGGCATAAATTAATGCATCTGATTTCAAGGAAATTACAACATAAAGCTGCATACAAATTAAAGCACTGGAAATCGCCCACAATTTAGCCATGGTTCATGAAAACTAAATTGCTAATATAACACATATTAGTTCAGTTTTAGAAATGAACTATTATTAGAAACCTTAATTGAGTCTTTGGTCATCAAATGCAACACTCTGTCTTTAACGCTGTAAATCTTTCCCCTTAATATCATATACAACTTCACTAAAATATAGTACCTCTTTTCTCCTTTTACTACCACTCTTCCCTCTTCTTATGAATTGAATCCATTTCTTAGAAGTGAATCTAAACTATCACCTCCTCTACATAAAGCAGTGAATCAAATCACTCTGGTTTCCATGTTGCTATTTTCCTTTAAAGGGCCTCTGATTCAAGGAACGAAAATCTCAGAAGAGAAAAGGAAGCACAGGCTGGGAGAAGAGGCCACTTGTTAAACTGAGCAAAGTAAGTGCCAAGCACCCTTAGCAGTGATGATGCCATCATGAGTCACGAATAACACAGTTCCCCTGCCACCAAGGGCTCACCAAATCGTACAAAAAAAGCCTCACAGTTAACCAGACTGACAGGTACTAACATGAGGGGCATGTGGCACATTCATAACACAAAGGATTAGAAATTATGACAAGGATCGTGAAGAGACTCAACAAACTGAAATAGCACACACCAGAGGTGAAACTGAAAGAGCTTGAATATTTTGTATGTTTTTCTTAGCAATGAAGCATATGCTAGATATTTAGGTACATTGTGTAAAATTCAGAACGAAGTATTTAAGAGGGTCCGGTGAGGTATTCTAGTGGCTAAAATCCTCATCTTGCACACACCGGAATCCCATATGGGCACCGGTTCGTACCCCTGCTACACCACTTTCCTTCTAGCTCCCTGCTTGAGGCTTGGGAAAGCAGTCAAGGACAGCCCAAAACCTTGGGATTCTGCATCCGCATAAGAGACCCAGAAGAAGCTCCTGGCTCCTGGCTTTGGAATGACCAGCTCTGGCCATTGTGGCCACTTGAGGAATGAACCAGACGATGAAAGATCTTTCTGTCTCTTCTTCTCTAGGTAAATCTGACTTTTCAATAAAAATAAATACATCTTTTTTAAGAAGTATTTAAGAGACTCAAAACAACATACGGTTTTGTGTTATAGAATCTGTGTGTATTTGGCATTCTGGTGACTTATAATGCTTATGGTAATTTGGCCTATTATTAGAATCAGCCTTGTGACTATTTTAAATTGCTTAATTGAATAATTGATTAAAACTTGCAATTTTAAGATGAAGGTTAACAAGTCTAGAATATAGAGATGCCCTTTTATTTCAAATATTTATAAAGTGCCCGGCACTCAGCTAAAAACCAGGCTACTAAAGCGCAGTTCCTGACCAATTCACATTTTTGAACTCGAGACAGATGCTTCAATAAATAATTACAATTTCTGTGACAAGTGCTAAAAATAGTAGCAATGACAGTGGCATCCAGCAAAACAGCAATTACATGAATAAAGTGTCTGGGAAACGAGCAGGAAATAGTTTTTCAAGCAATTGACACATGACCCTGATTCCTTATATGAACTTCTTACCTTGGCACTGCCACAGAATCCTCAGTCGTCATGAGTCCCAGCTGCCCATCGCTCCCTGCACCCCAAGAAAACAGCTGGCCGCGGTCACTGAGGGCCAAGCTGTGGGACTCGCCACATGCCACATGCACAATGTGCTGATCTGCTAAAGCTCCAATTTGTTCTGCAAGAGATCAGAGGGAGAAAATGCTCAGCAGTACTGCGAGGGCTGCCACCCTTACACGAAAGTACCTTCTCCTGGCAGTTTGGTGTTTTTGATTTAAGAGAATCAGTACATCTGTGTATTTACATCAATTCTAAACTAATTATCTCTAAATACTATCAACTTAAGATGCTAGGTACAATGAGTGGCACACATGCCTATAATAGCACAGGCAGACCAGATGTTCCTTGAATCTACCCAGTCATGTGTCTGCTATCCAGGAAAAAAAAACCTGAAAGCTTAATATTTTAAGATGTTTAACCAGAGACACCCAAACCCAAGAGGCACTAAGTGAAATCTGGCCCATAAGAATAAGATGCCTCTCCTTCACTCACTTACCGAGAATGCTAAGCACCCCCTCTGGTCACCAGACTCCCTGCTAGAGCACATCCCACCACTGGGGTGAGCAGATACAGCCTGTTTCCACTCTGAGTCTACAATGCCTCCCACCATACTTTCCCACTTGGGAAGCTTCAGTACCATAACCCAGGCATCTCAGAGTTTGAATTCAACAGAAAGGCTGAGATCCCAGCTTCAAACCCAGGATTAGACAAAATTGCACGCAGGAGACGCCAGCAGAGCCATCAATCCCATTAACCCACAACCAACCTAACAATAGTCCCACCCCTCCAGCCTGCCTACCATACACCCAAATCCAGCCTGACATCCTAACAATGGACCTAACTCCTCCAGAAATGTCATCACACAACCAGCTGGCTCACAGCAAGTGTGTGTGAGCCTAGCCTAAAAACTAGTCCACTGGAAAGCCTTACTCTGAGCTAACGACCTGCAGCACCCATTGGCACCTATGCCCAGCCCAACAGCCAACCAGGAAGCCTAGCCCCAGAAAAACTACACCATGACACATGCAACAGACACTGACAAAAATTACAGCTGAAAAAAACACACAACTCTGCGTGGAGAAGCAAAACTAACACCAAATTCCAACTGACAACCTAGCACCCACACACAAAGAAATTTCTCCAACCCCCAAACTCCAAAAAAAAAACCTCCATAAAATATGAAAACTGATTGTTGCTCTAGATGTGCACATATCAATGTAAGAGCATAAGGAATATGAAAAAGCAAGGCGACATGACACCCCCAAGGGAAGAGTGATTCTCCAGTAAAAGAGCCTTAAGGAAAAGAAAATTCAGACAATGAATGAAAAGGAATTCAAAAGCATAAACTGAAGGAAACGCAGTGAGATATAATATAGAAAAACACCACAATGAAATCAGGAAAACAACTCAAAATCCAAATAAGACACACAAAAATAACCAGAATCTTGCAGCTGATGAATTCCATGAAGAAACAAACTAAAAATGGAGCGCCACAGCAAAAGAGTGGAACAAGCAAAGGATGAGTTTCTGAAGTTAAAAGCAAGTCTTTTTGAATTAACCCAGACAGGACTGGGTGAAGAGGGACAATAAAGACTATAAAATTTATGGGAGATCTCCAATAAAACAAAAGGATTATGGGTGTTCCATAGGAGAAAAAATGAAGAACAATGCTGATTTACTGAAAACAAGTAACGACTTCCCAAATAGCAGGAGATACGTGAACATCAGACTCACGATGCTCAAAGGATCCTAACTAGACCCAAACCAAAGCGGCCTGCCTCCCTCCTCCACCACTCTCCCTGTCTCTTTCCACCCCACAACTCTTTCAAACAAAAGGAAAAGAAAGCTTATAAGATCAATACTTCTCATAAATATAGATGCAAAATCTCAGCAAAAAAAACTAGAAAAACATATTCAGCAACACATTAAAAATTAAACATCATGGGGCCTGGTGTGGTAGCCTAGCGACTAAAGTCCTTGCCTTGAACGTGCCAGGATTCCATGTGGCCACCGGTTCTAATCCTGGCAGCTCTGCTTCCCGTCTGGCTCCCTGCCTGTGGCCTGGGAAAGCAGTCAAGGACGACCCAAAGCCTTGGGACCCTGCACCCGTGTGGGAGCCCTGGAAGAGCTCCTGGCTTCAGATTGGCTCTGCTCCAGCCATTGTGGCCGCTTAGGGAGTGAACGATTGGACAGAAGAACTTCCTCTCTGTCTCTCCTCCTCTCTGCATATCTGGCTTTGCAATAAAAATAAGTCTTTAAAAAATTAAACATCATGATCAAGTAGGATTTATCTCAAGAACACAAGGACTATTTAACAAATCAATAAACCTTAGACAGCTTATACACCAGCAGAATGACCAGCGATCACCTCACAGCTGCAGAAAATAAATTCAATAAAACTCAACACACTTTCATGATCAAAACTTTTACAAACTATATGTCAAACTGGGAGTTAGAAAGGAGTGGCCGGGGAGGATGACATCAAGGATCCTACTCTCCATGGGGACACAGTCTAGATGGCCCACCTGGCAATTCAGCTTGAGGTTTAACATCCTAACAAAATGGGAGCTCAGCCAAATCAAGACAGTCTAGCGTATGGCCACATGTGCAAACAGGTCAAAGGTATGCAGTTCACGGGTGTCAATCACAAACATGCCACCGCCATATCATCAGTCAATATCCTTCCTACTGCAGGGGTGAAAGCCTCGATCCAGTAAGATACAATGCCACCTATTCCTCCCACGCCCCTGGACATGCTTTAAAAACTTTCGCTCTACAATTCCGCCTTTCGTCTCTTCACTGTACTTCATTACTCCTGCTTTGTCAGTCAACAAGAATCAAAACAAGCGACCACCACCAGTGATGTATTCATGACCAACTCACACAACCTCACACTGAACAGGAAGACAAGTCAAGTACCTCCTCGAAGATCAGGGACAAAGGTCACACTGTCACCAGTCTTACTCAACATAATCCGGGGAAGTCCTGGCCAGAGTATTTACATATCAGAAAAAAAAAAAAAAACAGAAAGGGGTAAGTCAAACTCTTTTTGTAGGTGACATGAACACACACACACACACGGGCACAGGTTCATGTCTCATTCATGACTCGGGCTCATCTCCCAGTACCTGACATTTTGCTGCCAACCAGCAGCAGCCTCTCCTGCACAGATGATAACGCATAGCCTAACACAGTCCTAAGAAACGCAGTCACTGGCCTGAGAAAATGCTACCTACCTGATTGATCAACACTTCTCTTGCCCTCAAAACCCGTTGACAGCATCCAGCTCGATCTTGTCTTGATCACAGCTGAGTATTCTCACAAGGCTACATCTAGACTCCAGTTTCCCATGTATTGCCAGTGTTGCCGAATTCCAGGCAAACCAACTCCAGTTCCACTACATGTCACTGGTCACACCAGGCAAATATACTCTATTTCTGTTAGCCAGAAAACTGTGCTCATACGATTCAGGCTAGAGGTCTGTCACAGTGGAACTACAGTCCTTCCTCTAAAATCTACTCCCTGGGTCAGCCCTATATGCAGATGAATGCCACATTCACTGGGCTGCCTGGATCCCCCAGTCCGTTCTCCAGATGGGAACACTCCGGCTGTGGTACACATTTTCACAGGCAGACTCCTCTGATTCACGCTGCTAACAGTGTATGTTATATTATGCAGATCATGAAAAAAATCTCAACCCATGCATTACAATAATTAAACACACTGAACAAGCATGTGACTTTTTTTGAGAATAAAATCATATTTTCTCTCTGATTCTCTCATAGTAACACAGTAAAGTCCTCAGCAATGTTACCAGCCTGAATGAGGCATGCTAGTAGGGTAGCAGAGAGGGAAATGTGGACAGCTGCCCAGTAAGTCAGCAGTTGAGCAGCACTTACACTATCAGGAATACTTCTCCAAAGCTTTCGAGCCTATCATAATCTTCTCATTTCTTTTGAGCCCATGGTAAATTTGGCATTAAACCATCAAACAAAAGTAACAGAGTGACATGTACTAAAGGGTAGATGAATGGCAATGCAACTCTAGCTTTGCAATGATGGTGAAGCAAGGGCTCGTCAATCACCCTCAGCTCAGAGAAGAGTTGGTCATTTGGTCAGGGTCTACAACAGGCAGTGGAGCTAGGACGGACTCCAGATTTTGGACTCCAAAGCCCATTACACCCACTAAGCTATATTACCTTCCCTCATGGACCAAAAAAAAAAAAAAAAAAAAAAAAACTAAAACAATTTTTAAAGTATTTATTTGTCCATTCACTCGGGAGGCAGGGAAGGCTGGCAACAGCCAAGGCTGTGCTGGGAATAGGGAACTGAGTCCAGGTCTCTGACATGGGTGGCAGAAGCCCAAGCCAGCATCTGTTGCCTCCTAGGACACACATGTGAAGGAAGTGGGCACTAGGATCCAGAGTCAGGGACCTGAACTTGTATACTCTGCCTCCGAACGTGGGCATATGAGCCCCTAGGCCAGGTGCCTACTTTGATACATGAATTTTAAGTTGCTAAAAAGTAACCTATAAAATGAATGCTCTACTTGTGAATAATGGTGCATTAACTCTTTTCCACCATTCCCTATTCAGAAGTGAATCATATCAAACGGCTTGCCATTAGTCATATGAAGACTTGAATTTAAAGTACAGAATACACAAAATCAGAAATCAATATTGATACTAAATTTTTACCTAAAAAAGTATAATAATTAAATATCACCAACTGGCATGGAAAAGAAAAAGGAGTTGAACATTCATCTGTTTTTCCAAATCGCTTATCTATAATTATGCTTTTCTCTAAGCACAGAAAACCAAAGACAGACAGACTGTGGGAAATGAACTCTTTGCACCAACATTCTATGGATCTCAAATCCTCAGTCACCCCAAATGACTTCCTCTTCCCCTTCCCCTGGTCTGACTATACAACTGTGCAAGTTTAAACAATCCCTACAATCAAAACACATAATCATTCCATCACCCCCAAAAGAGGCCTTCCCACTATTCCTTATAGCTACACCTAACCATCCCTAACACCCCACAGCCACTCTAGCCAAAGTGCTTCTGCTGCTGCACCCGCCTCTGGGGCCAACCAGCAGGAAGAAGAGAGAAGGGAA